CGCCGCTCCCAGGCGCTGGCGGTGAACGGGGAGGAAGTCTTTCGCCCTGTTGGCTCCTCTGCCGTCAGCTGCTTTGTGACGTGCCGGGGGGAGCTTGCCGCGCGTGCTGCCTCAGGGGGGCGGGTTAGCCCCTATATGGTTATCCCCTAATGGTATTTTACCTCTTGACTTCACGATCCATCTGCGCAGTTCACATCCTTATTTTGTTATTCCCCCTTCATCTTTACTTTCTTGTCGGTCTTGTTAACATACTTCCCCCCCCCCCCCCCCAGTTAAAAGGCAAGCGCGGGGGAGCAGCAGTAATTAGCATTTGGAGAACCACTGGGGCTAAGTGTGCTTAACACTTCCCAGGGAAGGCTGCGTGTATGGCAGTTACTATCACCAAACAGCGAAGGGCCGGCGAGCTCTGGAGAGGAGCTGAGTCTGTTTTAAATGCTATGAAGTGCTTTCCTCCTTGCAAGGATTCGGCAGTGGCTGGTCTGTGTCGCCGCGTGTTTGAGCATTGAGTTGCTTTCAGGTAGATTCTCTGTCATCTCGAATGTTTGCTGTTAAATAGCAGTCTGGTCATAGTGAGAGAACTAGATTGAGTTACCCAAGTACAGCAAGACCTTGCCGTATCTCTGTTGCTTCTTTATCCATTATTTCAGAGTTCTGTTGCTGCTCATTTAATACAGTGCACTATTAATTGCTATCACTGCCTTGCTTTTCTGTCCTTTTCCATTAAATTACCCAAGGAAAGCGGTGGCAGTGAAATCTGATGGTGATTAAATCTTCTGTAACATGATCAATTGTGGAACAGCAGCATCTCCTTTGTTGGACGACACAGATCTTGACCTTTTCTATTTGATGAATCAGTGACCCTGACCTTATTCCTGCTTCTCCATCCTGTTGCCAGTAGACCGAGGGAAGTGATACCTCCTTTCTGCTCGGCACTGATGAGGGCACACCTGGAGTACTGTGTCCAGTTCTGGGCTCCACAGTATGAGAGAGACATGGACATACTGGAAAGAGCCCAGCAAAGGGCCGTGAAGACAATTAAGGGACTAGAGCATCTCTCCTGTGAGAAAAGGCTGAGGGACTGTTCAGCCTGGAGAAGGTTCAGGGGGAACTTATCAACGTATACAAATACCTGAAGGGATGGTGTACAGAAGACTGAGCCAGGCTCTTCTCAGTGAAGCCCAGTGGTAGGACAGGAGGCAGTGGACACAAAGTGAAACATGTGCTGCAAACATAAGGAACCGCTTTTTCACTGTGAGGGTGACCCAGCACTGGAATGGGTTGCCCAGAGGGGTTGTGGAGTCTCCCACCTTGCAGATATTAGAAAGCTGTCTGGATGTGGTCCTATGCAGCCTCTTCTAAGTGACCCTGCTTGAGCAGAGCGGTTGGACCAGATGATCTCCAGAGGTCCCTCCCAACCTCAACCATTTTGTGATGCTCTACCTCATACGTACTATCTCTGTGTGTTTAAAGTCTCTTTCTGAAGTTCCTGCGTATGTCCCCTGTCTATTGCACTAATTCCTATGGGAAAAGTACTTTACTCTGGCAAACTGCTAAATGTTATGCATTTTGGGAGATACTGGGGTATGGTTGCAGTTTCTTTTGGCCCTGTGTTGCTAACTAGTACTGAGTATACTAAAGCTTGGTGCAAGGTGGTATGGTCTGATTGAAAAGCTGTGTCATTAGTTAACAGCAGTAGCCCCTCTTGGGAGTTTGCAAGTTAGTTCTTTCTTCCATGATCTTTAAATATTAAGCATTAAAGTTTTATCAGGCAACCTACTATGACCAGTTTAGCAATGAGCGTGAGTCTTGTGGCTGAACTGTCTGCTATCTCTTCCG